AAGAAATGTGTATTCCTTCCTATTTCAGAGATATATTTTTAGGTGGAATTTCAAGATCTACTTTAAGATCGGAAAGTGAAAATAATTTCTTTGACCACTTCTTGAACTCATTCCTTTCTTTGGTTGAGTTTGCATTTCATTTTCAAAATGTCATTGAGGCTCAACGCTATAGCTATAAATCATTCCCTCAATTACTAACGCCCTTGCCACTAGAGGAACATACTCCGAAAATTTGCAATGACTTTTTTTACTTGATTCAAAATGAGTGGAAGGTTGCATGTTTTTCAAATTTCAATGCTTCAGTAGTGATGAGTCACGGTTGGATTATGTTTCTATTGTTGATAATATTCGTAGCAAAACTTATGAAATTACCTATAATCCAGTTGATCATCATAGTTCTTGCAAGATGTTTCAGAGTGATGGTATATTGTACTGTCATTTTATCCGTTATAAAAGGTAAGAATGTTCAAGTGCTACCTAGTCGTTATATAGTGAGTCGTTGGACAAATAAGGCTTTAGAAAAGCCTATTTTTGACTTTTCAGAATATGTTAGATGAATCCCCTTCTGGTGCTAAAAACAAGTTGGCGGGTGTCTTTGGTCTTCATTTTTTAGTTGTGTTTGTCTTGCTGACTGCTGAGAATTCGAATGACGATCTTCACAAATCGTTGGATATGATGAAATCATTCAAGGATAATTCCTTCAAAACAGACTGTCGGTGATGTTAAAAAAGGCTCAAATGACGTTGAAAGTCTCTTAAGCATCACTTCATTATCATAGTATAATATTCATCCTCTCAACATTTGTCATTTGTGTTATTACAGACAAAAATAAGAGAATGGTTACCAAGCGTGATGAATCTAAACTTAAGAAGAGGTCAAATATTGTGAGTAAGAGTGATGCGTGTGCCAATGATGATCAAGTCAAGAAGCTAACCTTTTAGTTATTGAGCCAATTAGTTGTTTTTAATAAAAGATTTCAACTCTGTTAAAAATCAATAACTAAGGTTTATTAATTGTAATCAACAGATCACTTATTAGTTGTTATCAATTACAACACATATGATACCTTTTAATCAAATTGTACTCGTATCTTTTGCTTTTCTCTGAATTTCAACATTAGTTAGTATGTCCTCTGGTATTTCATATCTAATGAGCATTGCTTTGTTTTCAACTATTTCTTCTTCTCTTCTTATTCTTTCATTTATTTTTCAAAATTGGGATCTGCCAAAAGGAGGTGCGCTAATCGGGGATATCCCTACAACTTCAAGAACAAAGAGAAAAGTTGCATCTTAAAGAAAAGCTAAATCCAAAAAGATTAAAGCTACAAGGTTAACACTTTTGCTTATGGCTTAATCTATTAACTAATATGTTCAGAAGTTCGAAAAAAAGGTGAAATGTGTTTCTTAATTTTTTATTAAATACAATACATAATGTAAAGATTTTGGAAGCAACTTGTAGAGTTTAGGGTTTGATTGAAGTGATTGAAGATTTTTCTAAAAAATGAGTCCAAGAAATTGGAAGTACTATTTTCAATCACTTCAATCAAACAGTAAGGTATACACAAACTACTTCCAATTTCTTTACGTTATGTACTCTATATTTAATTAAAAATTAAAAAATACATTTTTCTTTCAAACTTTTGAACTATAGTTAATAGATTGAGGCATATGCAAAAGTGTTTACTTGGTAGCTATAATCGTTTTGGTTTATCTTCCTTTTGAGATGCAACTTTTCTCTTTGTTCTTGAAGTTGTGGGATATCACTCATAGTACAATTACTTTTGGTAGATGCCAATTTTGAAAAAGGAAAATGAAAAAATAAGAAGAGGAGAACAAATAATTGAAAACAGAGCAAGGTTCATTAGATTTTTTTTGTTATTATTTTTTACTCCAAGGGGAGGGGGGCTGGGGGAGCCTGGAGTAATCAGGGCACGATAGCCCATTAGATATGAATACCATAGGACATGCCAACTGATGTTGAAATTGAAAGAAAAGCAAAAGATATGAATACAATTTATTTAAAAGTTATAATATGTGTAGTAATTATCAATGATAATAACTAACAAATTTTCTGTTGATTATAATTATTAGTTACTCCCTCTGTATTTTAATGTTTACTACAATAGATTTGGGCACATTATTTAAGGATGAAATAGTAAGGGTAATGAATAGTATAGAAAAAGTAGAAAATATGGTGAAACGGTATAAAAGGGAAGATAAAAAGTAGAAAAATAGGGGTAATTGAGTATCTTTAAAGGAAAACTTACCAAAAAAGAAAAGTGTACCAAGCTTTCAAATACATCCAAAAAGAGAGAGTAGCAAACATTAAAATATGGTGGAAATATTAATTTTTAAAAGAGTTGTCCTTATGTTTTATTGAAAATAGAAGTCATTGACTCAAGAAATAAAAGTTAGCTTCTTGACTTGATCATCATTGGCAGATGCATCACTTTTACCCACAATAGTTGACCTCTTAAGTATAGCACTATAGCTTCATCACGCTTGCTAAACATTGACCGTTTGTCTTGAAAAAATTAAATCCTTGAAATGAAGACTAAAAAATGAAGACCAAATATCACCCACCAACTTGTTTTAGCACTAAAAGCGAATTAAACTGACATATTCTCAGAAAAGTAAAAAAAAAAAGGCTTTTCTAAAGCCTTATTTGTCCAACGATTCACTATATGACGACTAGATATTTCTCAAACACCCATACCTTTTATAATGAATAAAAATGACAATACAATATATCTTCCTTCTGAAACATCTTGCTAGAGCAAGAACTATGATGATTAACTAGATTATAGGTAACTTTATATGTTTCGCGAATAATTTTATCAACAACTGAAACATGATCCAACCTCGATTCATTAGTAGTGAAGCCTTAAATACCACAAGAAAAAAATGAAGCTTTCCAAAGAAAGGAAAGCTTCTTAAGTGAAATATAGTGGGGTATAAATTTCAAAAGCATGCTTCTTAAATGGCAAGGTTATTAACAATTGAGAGAATGATTATTTTGAATTCGCATGCAACTGGTCATAACTATAGCATTGAGTCCTTCAATGACAGTTTGAAAATAAGATGCAAAACTCAACCAAAGAAAGGAATAGGTCCAAAAAGTTGTCAAAAAAATATTTTCACTGTCCCGTCTTTAACTAGATCTCAAAATTTTACCTAAACATATGTCTAAATATATGAAGGAATCAACATTTCTTTAATATTAAAAGAAATTAGAAACCAATCATGTTTCTCTTATCCAAAATCTAACATAATAGACAACCAATCATGTTCCTCATTTGCAATCAAAGCAAAACCAAATGTAATACATTTTTTATGATTATCTATCTCAGTAAAATGTGAAAAAACAAAAGAATATTTGTTCGTGCTAAATGTGAAATCACAAGTAACCATATCACCAAACAGTGCATAATGTTACTTGCACACTGCATCTCCCCAAAAAACTCTAATCGATTTATGAATGTCATCAACCACATAATAAAAAAACCACTACAATAAACAACATTTTGCTAAAATCACGATAACAATTTTTAAGATCAACCAAAGAACTTCCAACTTTTGCATACCTACTAACATGTTCTTTCATCATATGAAATGACAAACTAGGTCCCTTATTAAGCTTTCATTATCAAATATAAATTTCATGCACAATAGTGAGATTAGGGTTTTGCTTCTCAAACATTTAACTCTTAGGAATAGTAAACTAAAATGTATGTGCCTCGTGAAAAAAGTAAACCGAATATGAAGCACATGATGATAAACAGATCTTAATACATGCGTCACAAACCATTCTCTTAAGTGCAATTTACCGAGATGTATCTTGACCAAAATTAATTTTTTCAACTTTAGGAACACAATTTTGGTTGTCACTATCCTCATTAAAGTCATGCTTGTTGTAAAGAAAGTATTTCCTTAAAATAGTACCATCTCAATGCTTATTTTCAGTTTCTAAGTGTAGTTCAAATACACACATACTAGCATAGACATTCTAAAAATTCAAAGCATCTCATAATGAACATAAACACATACCAGCAAATGAATTAAGATCAGCTGGGCAAACATGGAGTGGACATAATAAAAAAACCACTACAATAAACAACATTTTGCTAAAATCACGATAACAATTTTTAAGATCAACCAAAGAACTTCCAACTTTTGCATACCTACTAACATGTTCTTTCATCATATGAAATGACAAACTAGGTCCCTTATTAAGCTTTCATTATCAAATATAAATTTCATGCACAATAGTGAGATTAGGGTTTTGCTTCTCAAACATTTAACTCTTAGGAATAGTAAACTAAAATGTATGTGCCTCGTGAAAAAAGTAAACCGTATATGAAGCACATGATGATAAACAGATCTTAATACATGCGTCACAGACCATTCTCTTAAGTGCAATTTACCGAGATGTATCTTGACCAAAATTAATTTTTTCAACTTTAGGAACACAATTTTGGTTGTCACTATCCTCATTAAAGTCATGCTTGTTGTAAAGAAAGTATTTCCTTAAAATAGTACCATCTCGATGCTTATTTTCAGTTTCTAAGTGTAGTTCAAATACACACATACTAGCATAGACATTCTAAAAATTCAAAGCATCTCTTAATGAACATAAAGACATACCAGCAAATGAATTAAGATCAGCTGGGCAAACATGGAGTGGACATTGGGTGATCTGTTGCACTTTTTGAACTTCGGTCCAAACATGCTAATTAAAAAAAGTGTAGTGTCATTTTCATAAATGTCACCAACCACTTCCTTTCCGGAATTCAACTGATTGGACCAAATAATCCTTACCTAAAGGAGCTGTCAATCTTTTCTTTGCTCAAGCAGCAGAAAGTTTCCGCAGCTAATACGGGGAGTAATCTTGAGTCTTACCTTGATATGACTTAATTTTTTATTCTACTAACTTTTGAAAACCATTTAAGCAGATCAACATAACAATGAATACAAACTTCAATGAATGGCCTATAAATGTACCTCTCTTTTTCGACAAGTACTACACTTGAAATATCATCAGGAGCTCTTCCAGATCTCCTCAACAGCTTCTTGCCAGCTTTGCTCTGTAGAGCTTCAAATCGGATTCTCCTGGAAATAGACAAACATTATTTTCATGTTTGTTAGATGAAAGAGATCTGCAAAACATTATTTTTCTTTTAAAAGTAATTTCCATGTTTGTTGTTGCATCAAATCACTCCATCATCATCATCACCCCAGTGCTGCAAAGGCTCCCACCTACGGGTGGGGTAAAGGGGATTGGATGTATGCAGTCTGACACATAGTGAAAATCGCATAAAAAATTGCATGAACCACTTTAGTGAGTCATTTTACTTTATTCCATCATATTCCAAAACAAAAAAAATAGTGAGTTTTTAGCTCCATTGCAAATGACGGAACACGTTGCATCAAATCACTAAAAATAAATAAATAACCCATTCCACAATATAGTGAAAATAATAAATCTATTACATTATCAGAGAGATTTGTTAGAATTCCCTTTGAACTACTTTGATTTCTTTTCTTTCAAACAAAATAATAAAAGAAATGGGAGGAACACTAACCTCCGGCTATCATTACCACGGACAAACTTCACACCTCCGTTACATAAATTGCATACGCCTATGGATCAAATTATACGAAATTATTGCTTATTCATGCAAACCCCAAATTCCCAATAGTAGAGATTGAATTGGGATTGGTACAGAAAGGGATAAGAGTCAGTTTGGTCCTCGAAGTTGCAAAAAAGGAGTCAAATAAGTTCTTATATAGAAGATTCTGTCCGGACGTGCCATTTGAGGTGGCTCCCGGTGGAATTTTTTGATGAAATTTTTTGAGCATCTTATTCATTAAGTCTAGTTTACTCATACCAAATTTCAGATAAAAATTCAATCAGGAAGACATTCAAATAAATTCTTGAAGATACTGTGCCGTTAAAAGCGCTGTTATCTTCAAGAATTCATTTGAATGTCTTCCCGATTGAATTTTTAACTGAAATTTGGTATGAGTAAACTAGACTTAATGAATAAGATGCTCAAAAAAATTTATCACAAAATTCCACCGGGAGCCACCTCAAATGGCACGTCTGGACAGAATCTTCTATATAAGGACTTATTTGACGCCTTTTTTGCAACTTCGAGGACTAAAGTGACCCTTTACTCGGTACAGAAATATAATACTCCCTCCGTCCCGAAAACAACTTCCCACTTTCCTTAAATGGATGTCCCAAAATTAACTTCACACTTCAATACTTTCCTTATTTGGCAAATTATCTACATAAAAAAGTGATAAACAGTGTCAAACAGTGTTTAAACAGTGCCAAACAGTGTTTAAACAGTGCCAAACAGTGCATTCTACAGTAAAGTCAAATTTATTTCCTAAAAGTGTGTGAAAGTCCAACCGGGAAGTTGTTTTCGGGACGGAGGGAGTATATCCTAGTTATAGAAAGAATTACCAAAAAACGGGAGTTTCGAGTCTGACATACCAAAATTCCGTGTTCCGACCAGAGTTATATTTTCATTGCACACCTCCTGTCGGAATTGGTAAATCCGACTAGGAAGATTTGCTCAATTTCTTTTCCCTCCTTTCAGAATTGGTAGATCCGGCCTTTAAAAAAAAAGATCAAACTAGGTAGATCGTTTTCTTTTTCTACAAATTATTGATCGAACAATAAAAGCCAAATATTTGGTTCCAAGTATAATATTTATGTACGTGTTCAATTTTAATCAGATTAATCTAATCAGATAAATTTGTTCAGATAAATTTAATCAGATAAATTTTAATCTTATAAATCTTAATCAGATGAATCTAATCAGATAAATTTAATCAAATAAATTTTAATCAAATAAATCTTAATCAGATAAATTTAATCAGATAAAATGAAATAGATAAATTAAAAGAGATAAGTTTAATCAGATAAATTTTAATAAGATAAATCTAATCAAATACCCGAGTAAAGTTTAATCAGATAAATTTTAATCAGATAAATCTAATCACATAAATTGAGCAGGGTAATGATCATCATACTAGTCGTTCCGCCGTATCAACATCTGTCTTGACAAGGTGGGCGGACTAACATAATAGTGGATACACGCTGTATTACGAAAAACAAAGGATGTCATGTGTCGGGAACCCTTCTCACGTTGTGCCGGCGACAGGCTACACCCCGACATGGCGAGGACATGCCAGGGCCGAGCACGCAACGTTAGATGTAGAATTAAATTTATTATTGTATGTACAAATTTATTTATGGAATTACATTAAAAAACTACATTTGGCATGTTCACTTCCATTAAATTACATATATTGCATTTTAAAAAAATCAAATTTATATTTCAAATTAGGATTGTCTTATTTTTATTCCCAAATATGACTAGTTATTACTATGTTTTGAATGTACCAGACTTTAAACATGTCAATATTTTTTGACCTTGACAATAATTATTCCTATTTTGAGCATAAAAATATGGCAGTTCTATTTTGAAATTTTTAAACGTGAAGATGCAGATGAACATGAAGATGGGGGGTGAACAATCACAATCGCCCCCTCAACTCTCAACACGTCAAGGTGTCTCATTTGATCAACCACTGACGTGCACTTTGTCGTGTATGCACTCAAAATAATAATCAATACGACATGATACGTAGTATAGTGTAGTAAGGTTCGTATCCACAGGGAAAGGAATACTTCTCTTTTTATAAAACTGGAAATAAATAACAAGGTTTTTTTTAGATTGATTGATGAACTTAAATTATATTTAAGCACGAAAATGAACGACTTATGTGGTCTAATTAATGATGAGGGGACTTGGTTTTGCTTTTATCCACTTAATGAAATGTTCGTCGATCCCGGTTGTATCTTTAACTATCTTCCTCTCGAATACTCAATCGAGGAATATATCCAATTCATCGAGGGTATTTATTAATAACGAGACACGTTCATTAATAAAACTTACTACCGAGCCAATATAGAACACACGCCGTATATTCACTCGGTAGTAGCAATAAAATCAAGATGAAAACGATTGAGATTGAGTACCTTAACACAAGCGGTTTATTGGTTTAATCAATATAATTAATTCCCCTTAGATTATTAACCATGAGACGCATGCATTAATAATCCAAGTTTACTACCGTGAAAGGACCGAATTAATAACAAGCGTATTAATCGACCGATTCTAGTATTAATTAATATATGAAACAAAACTAGTTGATCCTTTAAGTAATGCTCAAAATATTAATATGAAATAAGAATATGAATTAATTAATATTCAAGGAAAAAGATTAAAGAAAACAACTCACAACTTACAATTCATTAAGCTTCAAAGTAGCAAAACCAAGATGTAAGAGTTTAGCTCCTCATTTAGAGACTAAACATGAAGAAATTATAAAGAAATAACTTGTCTAAACTGAGCTTAGAAGTATATAGGAATTGGTCTTTTATTGTGGAGGAAATGAGGTGTATCATTTGATCAACCGCCGCCGTATTATGATTCTTATCAGTACTCCACACAGGCAGGTGATTATATTGAGTCAATTCTGATTTCGTCGTTTTATTATGGAGACACAACGAGGACTTGGAACACTGGTGGCGGGGACGGAGCAGGGCCGAGTACGCAACGTTAGATGTAGTATTAAATTTAATATCGTATGTACTATCTATTCATTAATAAATTAGTGTCTATTCGTTGTTTTGTTCACTTCCATTAAAATTACAAAAATTGCACTTAAAATTACAAAAATTGCATTGAAAACAAAATTCACAACACAAATGGATAAAAAAACAATATAAAGTAATCAAATGTTTTGTTACTCAAAAAATCAAAATGCATTATTTTCATTTTAAAAAATATGACAGGAATTTAAAACAACTTTTAAATTTGGAATTGATAAAATTAATTTAAAACTTTAGTTTTAATTTTTTTTTATAACCGACTTTTAAAAATTTGAAAATCAAAGAGTTAAGAACTAAGAATTCGGCCAAAAAAAAAATATAAACTCCTCCTTGTCGGATTAGCCACTTCCGACAGGAGGGGATTTTTTGTTTTTCAAGAACCATGCCGCTAGTCGGAACAAGCAGTTCCGACTCCCTCTTTTTCATAAACCCTCAAAAATTCCCCGTGTTTTGGCAACCCTATCCAACTTTTCCCGTCTTTTGGTAAAACACCCCCTAGTTATATTCCAATCTCAAGCAGTTAGATCTTCAAATTCAGTTTCTTGCAAAGAATAACAGCTCATATATCATCATCATCACCAAAAAGGCATGGATTTTCTCAGAGAGAGATACTAGCAGGGGCGGAGCTAGGGGGTGGCCACCCCTGGCCCAGCCCAAATTTTAAAAATCTCTATATTTTTAGTGTAAAAAATTCCGTGTGAATTTTTTTCCAAAAATATTCTTTGTACCGGCCCAGTCCGGCCCAGTGTCCTGACTCCGCCCCTGGATACTAGCAATCACTTAGACAAAAGACTCGCTTGGGAACTGCTCTCTTTGAGGCATACCGTCGAACAACATGATGGGGCGAGTGTCCTCTTCGAAGAATTCGGCAGTTGCCTCTACCCAATCCACCGCCTTCTCTCCTCCTCTGCTCGGCAGAAATAGAGAGCCGCCGTCTCTGCACGTTCGCCGAGGGGGTTACGGGCAGACGTGAGCACGCAGCCGGTAGAGCTAGCGCCATCTTCACCTCGTTTGCTATAATGCTATGCTACTACACTTCCCAACCACAGACCGGATACAGACAAAAACAAAACTTTTTTATCAATGATAAAAAAAAAACTTATCAGATAAATCAAAAGAAATGTTGAGGTCCACCCTCTCCTGTCCAGCCGCCGTCCGAACTCCGCCTTTTGGGCGGTTTCCTGTGGAATTATTTGATTTGATGATTTTTTTGAGCATGTGTCTAGTTTGTGCATACCAAATTTCAGCTCAAAAATCGATCGGGAAGGCATTCAAATCATTTTTTGAAGTTGATTGCGTTTTTATATGTATATTTTGGCGCAGTCAACTTCAAAAAATGATTTGAATGCCTTCCCGATCAAATTTTGAGCTGAAATTTGGTACGGACAAACTAGACTTAATGAGGAACAGACTCAAAAATTTTCATCAAAAAATTCCACCGGGAACCGCCCCAAATGGCAGAGTTCAGACGGTTGCTTCCGTCCCTCCGGATGGACCTGAGCATTCCTCGATAAATCAATACTACCTCCGTAACAATATCTTCTCACATTCCTTTTTTGGACGTAATACTAATATCTTCCCATTTCTAAATCTTCTCATCATACCCTCAATAATTTTAAAAATAATAAACTATTACACCTACTTTTTTTGGATTTATCCATTATTCCATTACATTATTTCACTATCTTCTCGTCATATCTCCAATAATACATATCTCTTTTCACTATTTTTAATATACCTACTTTTCAAATGGGAACATCCCGTGGTTACGGAGGTAGTACAATAGTTTATTGTTCGAAGCTTTTTTTTTTTTAATTTGAAGCTACAATGGATGAAATATAGAATCGAATGACTTTCAAAAATTAATCAAATTCATTAATCCCACAATTATGTAGACTAATGATGTTTTTACTTAGATAATATAAGTAAAAACAGGTCATTGCAGACCAGACCAAATCAGACCAGACCAGACCAGACCAGATCAAATCAGACCAACAAAGTTCAATCCAAGTAAAAACATCATACTACGTAACAAGAATCATGACTCCCCAAGCCACTAGAAAGGGAGGATTGATTTGACGAGCAACCAATAAAGGAAGATCAGCCGAGCTGATATTTTCCGGAACACCGGTTTGACCAGCCATCGAAAATGAGATTTAGTTGAACATTTTATTCTTCCCATAACGAGGTGGTGGTTTAGGACCTTAGGTGGAGGGCGAGTAATTGAAGCCTCAGAACAAGAAGGTTGGATTTTTTTGCCAACCATGAACAACAAAAATTTACCAAGGATTACAAGAGAAACACAAAACCCTTAGGAGAATAATGAGGTATATATATCATATTGATTCACATATGTCTTAAATAAAAAAAATGGATAATATATAACTTTATATTTTGGAGATTATAGTTGTAACTTTAATGATATGGACATTTTCAATTTTACATCAATGCCTATGAATATTTAGTCATATTTTTATTCACAATAGTACGGAGTAACATTTAGAAAAGGACCTCATTTGTTATTTCCTAGTGGGAGAAATAGATATATAGCCTTTTAAATTAGCATACATAAAATTAATAGCGATCATTTATATTTTATAAAACAAATAGCACTTTTGTACTCCGTATGAGATTTTCATTTAGTGCACTCGTGTAATGGTTTAACCTTGTAATGGTTTGACCTAAAAGTATCACGATTCCTAATGAGATGGTTTCACATACTACCTTCGTCCCGTTGAAAGGTTCTCATTGCAAATTGACACGGTTATTTAGATAATAATTAAATAAAGTCGGTTTGAGTATTAGGCGTGACACCTATTAGGCGTGACAATAGGCGGCCTAGTCCAAACACAGGCCTTCTAAGGGCCCGCTCACTTCGAAGCCGCGCAATAGCTAGCAGCTCAAGTTGTAAATGAATGATGACTCCCACGCTCAAGTATAACTCCCCTTTATAACTCCACACGGCGGACAAAGTTTCCTTTTCAACCGTTTCGGGAAATTTAATTTAAGTAGAAGAGTTCGAAGACAAATATGCAGATGCCTGCTTTGAGATTTCAACTCGGAGATATACATAGTAATATAATAATAGAAGGGAAAATTATCAAACAAGCCTCCATACAATATGAGAAACATCGATTACGGCCTCATACTCTAAAATCACCCAATTAACTCCTCAATGTTACAAAAGACATTCAAATCAGCAATTTAGTCGATCAGTTTCCGGTTTGCCGGTTAGCAGCTCACTTGTCGTCTACGTGTCTTCACTATTTTTAATTCATTTTGTATAGTCTTTTGCTAGGAAAAGTCAATCCATTTCTTCCTCTTCTATCATATCGAGGTCATATGCTCCCTACAATCAATCTATAATCTTTGTAGACAACAAATCGATCGACGAGAAGAAATCGAAGGATTAATCTGCTCCCCGCCGACAATGAATTCCAATCCAGCCTGCTAGTAAATGTAGGGATTGTTTGCAACCAGGGGCGGAGCCAGACTTCAATATAGGGGGTGAAATATAATACAAGTATTAAAATGTAATGGAAAATTTGAAAATTTGGTCACATAAATTATTTTGTGTCAATTTTTAGTACTGATACTTCACTTGCTCGTAAATTTAGTCATTTAATTAATAATGTTTTGCAATTTAAGTACTTCCCCACTCGAAAGTATATTTTCCTATTGATAATTCATCGCAAAATATGCTTCCAATGTCGAATTTTTCGCCAGAAAATGTACTTTCTGGTGAAAATTCTTAAACTGCAAAAAACTATTAATTAGAGGACCTAACCAACATGTAAATAAAGTTACGGAACTAATAGTGGGGACAACAAAAAATTACCTGACCAAAATTGCAAATCTCTCAAAGATAAAATTTAATATATAAAATTTAAAAATACAGAGACTTGCATCTTAATTGCCTAATTGCTTTCATAATTTGGGGGCATCTTAATTGCCTAATTCTTTCATAATGGGGGGCAAATAATTTCTAATAGTAATACTTTAAAAATAAAAAAAGTGGAAGGGGCCATGTCCCCCTAACCTATAACATAACTCCGTCCCTGTTTGCAACTGCTTCTCCTTAAAAAAGCACTTTTGGAGTGATTTGGAAAAAGTGATTAGTAGTAAAAGTTGATAGTGCTTGAGAAAAAAGTGATTTTGAAAAGTAAAAGTTGGTAGTGTTTGGTAAAATAAGTGTTTTTTGTGTAATAGAAAAGGGAAAAACATTTTTCACACGAAAGCCGAAAAAAGTAAAAATTTGAAGTGTTTGGTAAATAAGGGCTTCCTTGAGTGGTTTTGAAATATAAGAGCTTAATTGACATTTTTTATATAGTATGAGAGCTTATTTGATAGTATTCCCATGATAAAACTAACTCAACTAAGCATGGACATTTGTAAATATACGACATGATTATATTAAAATTACTATTCCGTATTTCTGTATCATCATCATAGTTGACTAATAGCTGTATTAATCAATATTAATAATAATAGTGATAATAATAATACTATCAGTATCATTTGTTGAGAAATAATGAATGGTTAACTTCTAATTAAATACTTCATATGATTTGGTAGCCATCATCATCTTTACCGAAATAATTAGAAAATCGTAATTATGTTTTCATGATGAAAATTGTGTGGCTCAAAATTAATTCCTTATCTATAGGTGCTTATATTTTCCATTATAAATAAAAAGTTTCTCCTCTCCTTGTAATCACACCATTCAAAACAGCTCCCTTAATTACTACTAATTATTGTTATTGTTATTGGTTTTTGTTATAGATAGTATCATTCAACTAATTTTCCCAATCTTTTTTTGTAGGAACCAGAGTACTTGCATCTGCACTTTAAACTTTTGAGAAATCTACAAGTATATTTTGTTAAAAAAATGAAACATATAATGTTTTTGCATGACTTTTTTCTCTATTTACATTAACATACATACAAAGAGTTCTAGGAAATTTTAAAAAATTACTAAAAACCCAAAACGCCTCTTCATGCCTAGGCGACACATAAACTCGCCTACACTTTTAAGGCTCGAGGCTCGGTCCTGCCGCCTTGGCACGTGTTACGCCTTTTAGAACATTGGTTCAACGCTAAATGTTATTACTATTACTATTATTCTTATTATTTACAACTGTGCATAACATAAACCCTATGTTTTGTTGCTGCATACTTGTGAATATCCTAGAAGTCAGAACCACTCCACCATGCAACCAGGATGGAAGCCAGCCTCAGCTGCTGCTGCAGAAAGAGATTGCAGCTCTTTCATTGTCTTCCTCCTCTCATAGAAAATGGAGCATGCCAGAGATGTGCATTTCACACCGCTTTCAATAACCCAATCTCCCCCTCCACAATGCCGGCATATCTACGAGACAAAAACAATAACAAAAAACATCACATCAAAAAATATACATCAATGTGGTTGTCTGTATTATGTGTCCTGTATTGAGAAAGCCCTGTAGCAATAATCTTGTCACTTATGAGCAACACTTCTGTTTCCTGAAAAGTATCAGAGAGCTCTGTAACAAGAATCCTTATGGATGTCACTTTTTATTCTCGAAAGTGGGAGGTTGTTAAGAAAGGAAAGAAAAATGGAATGGCGTGTATTGACTGATACAAAAAGCAAAGTAGGCATTAAAGTGCTGTTTTTATTCATAAAGCAGTCTCATCATCATCATCATCATTTACCCCAGTGCCGCAAAGGCTCCCACCTACGGTAGGGTAAGGGGGGGTCGGATGTACGCAGTCTTACCCTTGTACTAGAGCACAAAGAGACTGTTTCCGGATGACCCATAATGAAAATCGCATCCAAAATTGCATGGACTGACTGCTGCTTGATAACAAAGAAGCACAGACAGTTTGGTGAGCCATTTTGCTTTATTCCATCATATTCTCAAGCCAAAAAATAATGAATCTTTGACTCCGTTACAAATGATGGAAATATTCATAAAGCAGTTTATGATTAAAAAAATCAAACTAAGACCATAAAGTATCAATAACGCTGAAAAGTAATCCACATGATATAACTTCAAACCCTTGCACTGTAATAGCATTATACTTACAGCGAAAAGGCAATGCATGTCTCTCTCCAGTTTGGAGGTCATTCCCGTCAAAGCTACAGCAACACTAGATTCATTCTTAGAACAGCTATGGCAGAGAAAAGCCAGACCCTGAACCAACTCACCACACAAGATACAATGTTTTGAAAGGTAGTAATAATCAATTCTCGTTCGTTGAACATTCGGAGCATAAACACCACGTTTCCCAATCGCTGTCCGCTCTGGTCGAGGCATCCCTTGAAACCATTGGTTCAAGTCAGCTCCAACAAGACCAAAGACTCGCTGCAAAGCTGGGATGATTTGTTTCTTGATGTAGTATAAGTCATTTATTCTGTAAGGTGATTCAATGGCTAGAAGGTCTAAAGGATCCACTACGACATCAGCAAGCCGAGCACCAGGTTCACCATGGACCACAATATATGGAACTCGCTCAGCATACCGTGGTTCTGCCCTAGGATCTTTTCTCATTGCTTTAGTTGCAACAATTGCCGCAGGAGGAAGTGAGGAAGATCGTACACTGTAAGTGCCTAAGCGTACCTCCTTCGCAAAAATAAAATCCCGCAGATCAACTCTGCCAGATATGATCCTGGTCCATTGACGAAGCAAGTATGATCTAACCTACAAATAAACAAAAGGACACATTTTTTTACTATGAGATAAAAACAGAAAGTGAATCCAATAAGAACCCAAGATGGAATCTAAAAAACATTTATAAAAAAGAAATTTAAGATGGGGAAATCATAACCAAAATACAAACATATGTACGGTTCAATATGCTTAAAAGTAGATGCATTACCATGTGTTGCTACAATTGTTTCATTTTACTACATCAAGAAATCAAGAAAAAGAATGAATGTACGACACAAATACTCTAATACCACTGGAATAAGACAAGCTTGTTGGCATTTAACAACAAAACCGTTCTATAAAATTATCAATGAGTGCTATCATGCACCATTGGGTAATGCTTTAGGAAAAGACATCCAGAACATAATGTTCTTGGATATAAAGATATATAAGTCAGTGCAAGTAAAATTTTCAAACTGCATACTTTAGGAAGGTAAGAGTGATGTGTATGCACTCTATAAGAAATCAGAGCTCAGTGTTTCAAGAACTTCATTGAATCTAAATGTCACATCAACAGTACCTTCTTAATGTCATGATGCTCAAAAAAGAGTCTGAGAGATTGTTCCATTGTTTTGCACACGGCTTCACATGAATCTCTTCTAACAGTCTCAATACCTTTGGCATCAAATACTGGTTTGCTTTGGCCAGGACTCTCATAACTATAGCCAACATATCGTTTCTTGGTTATGAGAAAGCACGGATGATACACCTTTTCCATTTTTAAAGTGACTGGATGAGGACTTAAGGCCGAAACTTCAGAAGCAATTTCATGACCAATACGAAAAGCATCACTAACAGAACGCCCTTTGAGAAGCACAAACATACTGGATGAACAATTCAATCAATTATTAAAATAAACTAGAATTGCACTTTGTATGTAATGAAACAAAAAACATTTCATTTCAATTTCCGCATAAAATACACATAAAAAACCTAATAGATTAAAAGTAAAAGAGACCAACTTTTAGTTATAAATTCTTGTTTTACCAAAATAATAGGACGTGAAAAAGATTTATGCAAACAAAATAAGCTACTCCCTCCGTCCCAATTTGTTTTGCTAAGTCAACATTTTTGTCAACCAATAATAAAAGTCAACCCTCCCTATGGATAATTAATTCAATTTTTAATAATTAAAATTTACATATTCAAAAACTACATTAAAATCTCTTCAAAGTTGTAAACTCCAAATTAGAATATAATTAAAAATTGACATCATAATTAAGTGAACAAAACGAGACTGTTTGACTAAGAAAAGTCAAATTTGCAACTCAATTTGGGACGGAGGTAGTACAAAATAAGCTAAAAAGTGCCACACCTGTCAGTATCACCATAAATAACTTCAGCGTTCCATTTTTCGTTTGTGTTTACGAATGAAATTGCAGTTTCCAGTGTTCTGCGCCCACATTGAACTATACTATCAGCCAGCTCAGCACAAGGCATTCGTCCACTAAATCCAGCAGCTGTATAGCCATATGTCACATTTGATATTAGTTTCAATGCAATTTGTCTCGCATTGAGTATCCGGTGAAGTACCTTTTGGGAAACAGCTAACTTCTTCATGGCTTGTTTGACCATAATCCTAGTTGACAACAGCTCTTCCAACATGCATGGAAGAACTCCTTTACGAACGTCAGAGGGGACAAACATAACTCCATTTGGCGTTAGAAGTATTTTATCTTTTAATGTCTGCAAAATATTTCTACCCGGTGAATATGAACTAACACCAAGGATATTGTTGGTCTTTGAACAAGTGATTTTTCCAAGACATGTACTGTAACAGAGATTATATGCAATTATCATTGATGGATAAAGTGATTGAAAGTCAAGAACAATAACAGGATCCGCATAAAATCCAGATTTTGGTTCCATGACAAGAGGCAGACATTCCATTGCAGGCTGCAAAGCAACTTGTTGGCTACCAGGAGATATTGCAACATAGTTTTGTGAATGAGCCAACCTCAGTAACATAGATTCCACCCTGTATTGTGACCCCCGTGAGAGAACTGAAAAAAAGTCAATCCCAAAGATTCGTGCAAGTTCTGATGTCCGGTTTATCATATCCAGTTGGGTTATAATCTGAAGATTCAACTTTGCTCTCTCCAAAATATATTCTATGCATCTAAACCGTGCACGCCCAGGACCACTTAAAAACCAATTTGTCAACACCTTGCAAGGGATGGAAGGAATTTTACGTCTCAACACTGCTTCGGCCACATACTCCATGGTATACATACTAAGCTTCACTTCACCACGCATTAAACGCCAAATGTTAAGAACGATTCTACCACCAACATGGATACCACTGGAATGTGTTCTGCCCCATTCATCATCTATTATCTTCACATCTTCAGAAAGCACAGGATCCTCAATGACAGATTCAAAGAAAAGGTCGCTTGGTTTTTCTTCCTCGTTGTCTTTAGAAGGTGCATGGGTCTCTGACAGTGTACGAGATATTTTTCTTAGCAAATCAATGCCAAGATGTGCTGCTCTTTCTGCAAGAAAACCAAGCGAACCACCCTGAATATCCCAGCCCATCAAGACATCTGGATCAATTGTAGAAAAAATATTCACAAACTTCCTAAATAAATGCTTCTCTTCACAGAAACCCCAAACCTTGCATCCAGATAATGCATCCAGATTTCTTGGAACAGATGAACCATTACAGTGCAGGAGCACATAAGCATCACCCACAGGCTCATCATCTTCATGAATAACAAGAACTATGATCCTGATGGCATCAAATCGAGGGTCAGGTCTTAGATCACCCCTTGATTCTGCTTGAACTTCTATGCTCAATAATGTTAGCTGCTGCTCACAACCGATACTTGCTGAATCACGGAATCCAATTTGACTCAGAGGTGTAAGCTTTGATTTTCTATCAGGACCTGATATCTGAGATAGATCTTCAGACAAATCATTGGATTGATTGCAGTTCAAAGGATCCTCGCTCTGCTTCGTTGTTTTACTATCACCGTGAAAAAACTCCATTTCAACACTACTTGCTTTATTTTTCTGATTTACCGGAGCTGACACAGGCACATATTCTATCAGACGCTGACTACCACTCAAGGCCTGAGAATTCTGCTTGGTCACTACCTGACAAGAGGATCCCTTGATTGATGGTGAGGAAGTTAAGCATATATCTTTATTCTTGCCGGAAGCATTTCCAGAATCAAGTTTTATCCATTTCTCAACACTTTCAGTTAGTGGTGGTGTGAAGGCAGGGGTCAGCATGAACAGATAGGAACCATCACTTTGAAGGTGAAAAGCTCCACCATTTAGACCTGGTCCACAATGGTTATGGTCCAATGTTCTGGAAGTGTTGACATCTCCTACCTGGCAATCTCTACCAAAGAAAGGAAGGAGTTCATCTGAAACTCTACCCTGTGCAGATATTGCATCATCGAACTGAGGGATACCAAGTGTTGATTGAGTACATGAACCAAGTTCATATTTGCAGTCTCCAACAAGGGGCTCCCGATAGGTCAAATGCATAGTTTCGGCAGGAGTAGGTCTTGATGTGGTTATAGATATGGCCAATGCAGTATTATGAGGCGAATAGTCAGTATTTTTTCCATGGCACCCACTTAATAGAGTGTCAGATTGAAGAACTCCAGTTGTAGATGGCATGACCTCACAATTCTCAGTTGAAACTCTTTGCATTTTGTTCACAGTAAAACTAGTCTTATCAGTACTTAGTGGATGATTTATTTCTATATAAGTTAGAGCTCGATCTTTAAAGGATATGTCTCCCATTGAAAATAGATGGCTGTTGGGCTCAACTGCATCTCTTAAAAGCATTTTCTTGCCATCAGAAAATTTATTTTCACTTGACAATTTTGATGCTTGAGCATAGGGTACAAACTCAGAAGGAACACTATCAGAGGGTAAAGATTTGGTATTGTTAATACAGATGTCTTTACTTTCACAGTCACTAGAGTCTTTACTTTCACAGTCTCTAGATGTGCATTGCTCCATCTGAACTGCACCCAAAGAGCTCATACCGTAACAATATTGCTCTGATTGATCAGGTTTGCTGTGCAACGGCTTCTGCAAAGGGACACTAGCTTCCCTGACAGTGTGAGCATCACTTCCTGATAAAGAATGACATAGTTTAAAACTTGATGAGTCTCTTTGAAAAGTGTTGCAAATGCTGGAGCGCATAGGCAAATTAATATTTGCAAGTTTGCTAGCATTGGCATCATAAGGCTCAAACTGCATCTGATATGTAGGACATGGGCTAGTGTCATCGCATCCTCTCTGCTGCGTACCAACTGAGTACATATCCATGGAGTAAGCCAAGGGTGCTTTGTTTTCCTCTTCGAGTGTCTTTTCAATACAAAACCATGGTTCTTCTCTGTCTTCCTTTACAGATGGAGATTTTTTCATCTCACTCATGCATTCAGTTGGTTCAGTACGATAGTAACGTTTCTTCCTCATCAGATCCCGCATAGAGCGCTTAACTATCGTCTCTCTGTTTGATCCCTCCTTTACTGTACCTGGGTTTATTCCACAGTCTTCCTTGCAAGGCAGACCAGAACCATCTTTTATGTGGCATCGGCTAACTGCAGCAGTAGGTGAAAGCTCATTCACTTGCTGGACAGATGACACAGGTAAAGGGCCCCAAATCTGTCTTCTCCTTTTGTGATTACTGAACTTACCTAAATGAGCATCTTCTAATGACTCAGTTTCTGAAGAGGTCCCACATTCACGGTATGTTCCTGATGACTTGTTGGCACATGAAACAGCATCAAAACAACCTGATGACTCATCCACTTGAGGTATTATTCTGCTTGAAGAAGCCTTGCATGAATAATTAGAACCGATCAAACAGGCCGTTGTCCCATCTAAGCCTTTGATGTTACCTCTATCCAGTAGAGTATCAAGAATGTCCTCACACTCTTGTTGGGATTCATTCTCATAATCCACATGAGCTTTCTCTAATACCTTATCTATGGTTGCTGCAGGCATTAAGGGACTCAAAATGGTCTCACGGGCAAGGTCATCATCTGAGTTTATATCTTCAGCAGCTTGAGAAGATGCAAGCCAATTTAGAAGTACCAAATCATCTTGATCTGATGTCTGAAAGTGTTAAAAAAAAACAGATAATGAGATAGAGAAAGTTATTAGATGCAGAGAATTTTTCTGTCAAAAAATGGGGCAAATTAGAATAACAAAGTTGGCTCCACAAATTTCTATGCTCTTCATAGTCAATGCTCTAAAATTGCTCTTCATAGAATCGTAGTCAATGTTCTTAAAGCCCCTTGCTATCCTTCTGCAGATAAAGCACAATGAACAACTCAAACAAAAAGGGGACTTTAGTTTGTCCAATAGCTCTGAGTTGAAAATCAAGCTTCTTCACTCGGTCTTATTTACTACTCCCTCAGTCCCATTTTATAAGATATCTTTCCTATTCACTTGGTCAACACAAATTACTCTTAATCTCTTACTTTATATATCAAAATTATATGATCATCATCATTTACCCCAGTGCCGCAAAGGCTCCCACCTACGGTGGGGTAAGGGGGGGTCGGATGTACGCAGTCTTACCCCTGTACTAAAGCACAGAGAGACTGTTTCCGAATGACCCATAGTGAAAGTCGCGAGCAAAATTGCATGAACTGACTGCTACTTTATAACAAAGAAGCGCAGACAGTTTAGTGAGCCACTTTGCTTTATTTCATCATATTATCAAAATTATATGATATTTGAATTATTTTTTGCAAGCTTTGTAGCGGTTTTAATGTAGTTTCTGAATATGTAAGTTTTATTTTCTAAAACTAATTTGAGTGTTGACAAGGATCAATTTGCTTTATCGTCGGTCAAACATCGTACCGTAAAGTGCCTTATAATTTGGGACGGAGGGAGTACATTCTTCGCAGCCACTGCATGCATTAATGAAAACATGCCCTCTGGGCACTTGAACACGTGAAATCACCACCACCTAATTTCTATGTGAAAAATGTACTCCACTACTACCACAAGAAAAAGTAAGTGGCTCAACAACTAGGAACAAAAGTTCTATGCAATCTCCAGAAAGAAAGAATTCTCTACCTCATCAAATAAAAAAGTGAGCAAAATGATTGATAAATGGACTACATGAACAAGCAAACAAATGTATGAATGAATAAAATACAGATGAAACATGAGAAATTGAACATAATTCCTCGAAAGAGCGAGTCATTCGAAGTCCAGATATGGCCTTTGAGAAAAGCGAGCAAAGATCACTGAATGAAGAAGAATTATTTGATGATGTAACCTTTAATAACATCTTACCTTCACACCGGAAGTTGATTGAACATTTTCAGAAACTTCCAATCGTTCAGCTGAGAGTTGACAGGGATATGCATTCATCTTGTCATTACATTTCCCAATATCATCACCCTGAAATTATGTCTTCTTATCTTCTGAGATAGAAAGCTTCCCAACTTTTCTTATGCTTTCTACAAAATCAGTACGTCTAAATTTGATTTACCTCGTATGTGGATGGATTTGTTGATTGTGAATAAAAACTAGTAGTTTTTACATCATCAGGATCCGGAAGAATGTATTCAAAACTCAGTCCATTGCAAAGTATCTTCAAAACATCCTTGGGAAGTGGCTTCCCATGACCAGGAGGTATGGTGTGCCCATGCATCCCATTGTAACCAAACTCCTAAAATCAAATTGAGAAATAGCAAACGAATCATAAAATAAAAAACAATGAGTATATAGAATGAAAATAAAAGATGAAAATAGACCTCCCAGATTGGTATTAGTGATTGAATCATTTTTACTTCAGAACATGTCTGCGAGAGGGACGTGTATGACAGAAACTGTTGATTGAGGATTGCTGCGCATGTGTATATATAGGGTTTCAGCTATACCATTTTGAATCAGCAAACAATAATTTATTTAACGCATATAGAAATGACAACAACCATCAATGAAAGCATCCCCTTCAAGTTCAGAAGTACTTGAACGATTTATGGCAGGAAGAACTTGATCAGTTGAAGTATAATCTTGACTAGAATATGACCAAATCCAACCATCAGGAATAGTGGATGATATCCAAATTGGTGAATCCAAACATGAATGACAATTTGGATCTCCCTAAGTTTCCACAAGAGAAAAGGCAATCCTTTATATCCAAACAAACAGCAGCCAGTAGCATCTGCAGCTAACTAACAAAATTAACCTTAAAATTTGCAGAACTATAGGCAGGGATATCCATGCTATCTCTCTTTAGGTCCTTGTACTTCGCATTCTTTGGAGAAAAAGCCTCTGGCACTGGGTTGCGGAATTTCATCTTTGAAACGTGTAGATGACCCATCCCATACAAGTTATAATCAACCTAGAAATTTTGATTGAATACTGACTAATAAATCCACCAATAACATAGTAAAAGATGAAGCAAATTTACTGAACTACAAGAATTAAGGCTAAATACTAGGCAGGATTTATGTTTAATTACAAAGCTCGCTACTCTGATCACTTGAGATATGGCAATAGTGTCGGATCATCAAACTGTACATGATGTCTAAGATTAATCTTAAATTTCCATTTTACAACCTGTACTGGAGTAAATCGGTACATCTGTAAGCATGTTAACACATAAACGGGGGGGGGGGGGGGGGGGGGGATACCAAAACACGAAAGTGATTTGTGCATAGAGTATACAGACAGTTTGTAAAGAACTAAGAAGTGACGTTTTAAAATATTAAAAAAGTACAAGGAACCCACAGCCTACACTAATTAGTTAATGTTAAAGATTACCAAGAATTGGAGAAGGAATGGTATATGTGATTCATGGGGCTGTAAAACCTTGTCAAGCACAGCTCCACCCTGAATAGAAAAAGAAATCTGATATGTTCCCACTTCACTGTTCAACACATATACAAAGGAACAAATAGAGGAGGTCCATAAAAGGAAGTCTAGAGCTTCGACTATCCTTTTGGTCAAACACAGGATGTCTAGACTCTAGTTCTTTAATCACTGCCATACATGTTTTATATTTACATACATATATTTCTTTTCTTTTTTTTTTACGGAACATACATACATATATATTTCTTTATGATAATTTTGTGTCATAAAGAAACATACATATATTTCTTTATGACACAAAATTATTATAAATTAGGTTAGTCTTTATGAACCTCTTTATGAAAATCAATACACACACTGACACACACACACAAGTTCTAACAAATATAATATGTAGCAAAGAAGAAGAAGTAGCCAGCACACATAAGAGAAATAGATGAAGCATGTGAATGTCAAATTAGACAGGCAGTCTCCTAAATTAATTCTTCAATTATACTTGGCAGCATTTCTTCTTTGCATCACCTAGTGGAACATATTACACAACTTGATATGTAGCTTAAGGGTTCATAGGGAATAAATTGAAAAGGCATATGTGTACTGGACCACACTTTATTATGTTTGTTTAGATATAATTTCAATTTTGATCTTAATTACAGTGGTATTCCATAATTAGTACCTCAATATCAATTTTTTCAACTTTCATCCAACTACTAACTACTATTGGAGGTGGACAACTTTGGTTATATGCTACCATTATTTTCTCGGTTAAATAAGGATAGCCAGACATTACAAGTTAGTGACATGCAATGTAGTGAGGAAGAATTAGCCATTTTCCAAAACACTCATTGCCTTCACTAAAGTTGTCTTAAATTCAGGATATTCTCAATATCTTCCAAGATCAATTTGATGCAATGAGCAACACAAGGAGTCCAATATAAATGTGGCCTTTTTTCATACAAAACGCTTTCCTGCAAAAACGTGAATTTGAAAAAAAATAAGGAAATTGAAGTAAGACCCATGCAAGTATGCTACTTCCATTAATAAAGAAGCTTGATACTTGCATATTCTGCAATAACTTGGAGACCTTACACCCTCCACAAGTCTATAATCAGATCACACATCTTCCCCTCACTCTTTCCATAGTCAGAAACTTCATACATACTATATCCTTAAACATCTTTTGAAAGCAAGGGCAATTAATGCACTAAAACTCAAGGAAATATAACATCATATATTCAATCACAAATGCTCAATTTAGTCTTCTTACTATGTTCATTTTGTATGCCTTATTAGGATGTTTTTACTTGGACTGTAATTTGTCCCAGACCAGACCAGTTCAGACCAAACCAGACTTGGATAGTTATAAAAATACAAAGAAACCAGACCTTACCAGACCAGACCAACAAATTACCGTCCAAGTAAAAACATCCTTAGTTGTTATTCATTAATTGAAGTTTATCTGTCCTTTCTGTCAACCAGTCTAATATTTTCAGCACTATTTTGCATATATAAGTCATTGGGAAGTGGGAACTCTGTTATTAAGTTCTTTTGCCTCTTTTCTGGGAAACTATTCCACTTTTAATGCCACAACTATTAGGTTGTTTTCACTTTTGGTTCCAAGTTGCTTTATTTCTTCTTTTGTTGCATGCCTATGGATTTCTGGCTACATTTGGTCCTTTTAATCACTTATCCAGCCTGTACAATTTTCTAGTTGATTTCTCATCACCAAAATATGGAAAAATGGACCAAAAGCGAAAATGGAATAACACTAAAAGTGAATTATTTTCTTTTTTTGGCTCCCATTTGATATTTGACTTTGTCTTTTCCAGTTCCTTTTCTCATCTCTTTTGGCAAAAATGTTCACTTAAAATGGCAAGAACCATAATGAAAGTAGCAAATTAAAATTAAGATATATTAAGATTTAAATAAAAACACAAATGCATACCATCCCAGATTGAGGAAAGTAAGGGAAACAACATTATTGAGTTTGAAATTTGAAAGGAAAAAAAGGAAAGGAAGTATTTTAATAGGAGACCAATCTGCACCTCAGTTCATAGCATGCAAACTTGTTAAGCAGAAAAGTGCACTAATGCAATACTCCCTCCCGTCCTGAATTATGTGTCATTTTTTAGTTTGGTACAATTATTAATTTGTGTTGTTTTTTATTTTAATCTCTTATAGATACGCACTTAATGCCAACTTAAATGTTAAAATTCAAACCCTTTAATTTTATCAAACATTAATTATATATATATATATATACACGGAAAAGATCCTATCCAGCCGTAGGGACATGATGCTCCGTCCGGCCGCCCCCGTTTGGGTTGTTTCTGGTGGAATTTTTTGATAATTTTTTTTGAAGATTTTCCTCATGAAGTCTAGTTTATGCCCACCAAATTTCAGCTTAAAATTCCACCGGGAACCACCCCAAACGGCAGCGGCCGGAACATCTTGTCCCTCCGGCTGGACAGGCTCATTCCTACACACACATACATATAGTGTGTGGTTCCAATGAGAATGATGCTTAACGTGAGAACATTCACAATTAACCTAATGTGATACACAATATAGCCCGTTTGGTGCACATTTTGACTTTGCTCAAAACAAGCCAATATAAATAATCACGGTAGCATTTTGATAAATTTATGGCGAAAACGAAAATGTGCATTGGGCGAGCCTCATTGTGCATCACATTGGGGTAAATGTAGTGTTCTCAGGTAAAGCATTGTTCTCATTTGATCCGAAATCTATATATGTATATATAATACTACATTGATAGCAATTAATATTCCTCTGTGCATTGCATGGGTAGAGTGGTAGACTGCTAGTTCTTTGCCAAAAAAGGAACCAGGACATTTATTTTGGGACGGAAAAATGGAAGACAAGACACATAATTCGCGACAAAGAGAGTACTTCACAACTTTTTAAAGAGAAAAGGCAAAACAAAGGGTCAACTTTTTGCAATAATTGGTGAGGTGGCTATTGTCACAACAGATGGTTAAGTGCCAATATTTGGCAACAGAAGACTAATGCTGTTAAACTTTTCCCTACCTGTTGGATGAAAAATGCCCAAATGGATAATTATGCCCAAATGGACTAATGTTGTTAAGCTTTTCCCTACCTCTTTTCACTACAGTCAAGGGGCATAAATGGAATTCGTTCATTTTCTATTATACTTTGATAGAGAAAAGAGGCAAGATGATGAAATATTCAAGAAAGACACGAATGCTTTATGAAACTAGAGCAACATACATATAGTATAAGAAAGCTAAGAGCATGAAATAGCATAGGCATTTCCCAACAAGATAACATCCCAACAGCGTAGGGCTCCCTGAACTTCAATGAGTACTAAATTGCATTCATTTCTTAATAACTCCTATGCTAAAGTAAATTCATATGTGTAGTAGCACAGTGTGTAAATAAGGTAGATAACAAATTGATTGAAAATTAGCAATCAAGTCTAAATACCAGCATCTATCTGACCCTGAACATGTAATTGATAATTGCCCTTTGCTGCTTTTCCTATATACGTAGTATTTTCCTCTCTCTATGACATACACACAACACACAGTCACACATATAAATATACACCAAAATGAGAATATTGGCATATTATTACAAGTTAATGGCATGTTTAACATTGAATAAGAAGAACAACAAAAAGCCAAAGCTATATAAAGTACCCTAAGAAGATTAGCAGCGCGGGAGACATCCTGTGGATAGTAGCTTATGCATCCGTTAAGGAGTTCAGTTGCATTATCAAAATATTAATAGAACTATAGAAAATTGACAAATGATGATGAATGGGAAATGAACCCGATAATCAAAAGAGAAAACAATCTAACAGTGGCTATCAAACATTGAAATTAGTAAGGAGTGTGTGCCACATGAGAAATATATTAGGGAAAAGTACAAAAAAGGTACTTGTGGTTGGGCCCGTTTTCAGATAGGGTCATGTGTTTCATTCTTTATCAAAGTGGTTCATGTGTTTGAATTTCGTTATCACAAGAGGGTCACGCTCTTAAAAATGTCTGAAAAAGACCGTTAAAAGTAACTCCGATTTTCAAAAGTGTCCGGAAAATTAAAAGAAAAATACCGAAAGATGCGTCTCGTCAAGATAACCTCCAAACCACCTTCGCCTTTGGAATTTTCAGACCTGCTTGAATTATTCTTTAAAAATGAATTCGCTAATATCACTTTTCTGATGGACTTTCTGGTGACAAGGTTGGCTGAAAACAAAAAAGAAAGATGGCCTAGTGGTCGTCTTATTGAGGCACACCTTTCGGTATTTTTCTTTTAATTTTTCAACATTTTTAAAAATCGGAATTGCTTTTAACGGTCTTTTTCAGACGTTTTTAACGGCGTGACCCTCTTGTGATAACGGAATTCAAACACATGAACCACTTTGATAAAGAATGAAACACATGACCCAATCTGAAAATGGGCCCAACCACAAGGATCTTTTCCGTACTTTTCCCAATATATTACTCCCTCCGTCCCAAATAACTTTTCCAAGTTTGACCGGCACGGGGATTAATAAAGTAAAAATTGTGTGGTTGAGGTTTGTGCAGAGGAGATCGAATTAACTAGAACCACAAATTCTTTACTTAAAAGAGAAAGTGACAAAGTTAATGGGACATCCAAAAAAGGAAAGTTGAAAAAATTGTAAGGGACGGAGGGAGTATACACTAGACCATACAAGATATCAGTCTCTGACGAGTGAGTAATCCTATGAGAGAGAGAAATTACATGGTCCATACATGATCTATTTTCACATTGACAGAAAATAGAATAACAAACAACCAAAACATTACACTACTCTTTCTTTCAAATGTTTTTTGTTGAAACTCTTTCTTTCAAGTTAATCTTTTAAAATGGAACCCCAAATCTTAACACATTTGTCTTGTACTTTCTATTATTAATGAAAATTGAGTGCACAGTAAATGAACAGATTAATGGTAAGATGTCTAACTAGGGATACAGATAAATTTTCACAAATAGCTCCTCTGAAGAATGATAACCATATAACTTGTTTGCCCTGACTAGACTGCAACAGTGCACATGCTGACGATTTGAGGCCATACTGCCTTTAAGCTGTATGAATTAAGAAATCAAATAGTGAAGATTTGTATCAACAACAATTACACATCAATAACATCTTAAATAGCTGTCAAAACACACCCCACTTGAAATAGAAATACCTTCAGTGCCTCGTCAAGAGCGTGGGATATGTTATTTGTGCATTCTTGACCTGCAAAATCTTGTAGTAGGTGATGGTGGTGACACAGACTGAATGTTAGGGATAAAAAAACCAAATACACCGAAGCAAGCTTCACATACTTATCTACATTTATTATATTATCATAGATATCAGTCCTATACTCCTATTGTGGTAGTCTATTGGATACTGAAGTGGAAAACTAAATTGAATTGCAACATGTTGATGATTGTGTCTAAGAAATATAAACTTGTGAACTCATCAGCTCAATTCAGTGGTACTAAAGCTCTTATTGGGGTCAGCTACATGGATTTCATTGCTGCATTCAACTTTCTCTACAATAAGCTGATATTTATCCCCTAGACTAATACTTTTGTTTAACAAGTCCAACCCCATATAAGCTTCATTGCAACATCTCGTCTACCTCACAGTATTACGGTTGTATCTCTCATAAAGTCCTACTTAAGGAAACCATTAATCTACATTAAAGATGTTTAAACCTTCTTAAATTATACTTTCTCAATTTTTTCATGAATACGTATGAATTGCACCTCAATTTGATCATGTTAATTTCTAGTAACATGATACGAGCGGGTTTTTATAGGTGCATTTATCTCAGTATTTTCAATTCATCAGTCATTTTAGGGTCACTATGTTCCTTCCCATTCATACAAAGAGAATATTAAAAAAAACATTTGCCCCTTATATTCACCATGATTCACCAATATTTGGTGTTGTTCTAACAGAAGCCGAAGAATAACTTATAAGCACAACAATAAGCCTTTTAGATAGTTGTCATTGCATAACCTAAATGTAATACCTCTTTTATCTGATTGAAGGAAGAGATCTGAGCATGGAACATAGAAATAAGGCAGAGTCTGCAGGAATTCAACCATTAGTTTGCAAGAACTTTACATAATATACATCGATGTATTTCTATATTCTTCTAGATGCTTATTATAAACTATGATTTATCCACTCATCTAACCTTATGTGTGCACATGCTTAACACGTTTTAAGACTTATTTTGCTGGTATTCGAGCATTTATTGAGCATTTTTAGTCATTTTAGATTTTTGGATTCAACAGTGGAGGCATATGAGGAAAAAGGGAAAGTAAAGATTTAAGTTTGAGATAAGATTGAGGGAAGTTTGGAACTATTTCATGATCTCATACACTGGTGGATAACATTCTAGTCCCGAAGGTAAAAAATGAAAAGTTGTTCTTTGGAAGTTTTAATTCATGATTTGCAAAGTTGTTTTAGCAAAGTCGTTCTTACCCTAAAACCAAAGTATCATGTCAACAAAAAAATAAGAAATAGATGACTTATTTAGCATCTGGCATATGGGACTAGAATAAAATAGGTGTGGGAATGAAACAGACACTGTTTTGAAAGCCAAAAGTCATATCTGAAGTCTGAACAGATTCGAAGACATTTTTGGTGGTGGTAGAGCCGGAGAGGTGATATAAGGCCTATCTTATGTTGCTTTTTTAGGGGAGGGGGGAGATTCAAGGTTGCATTAGGAGTTGTTCTCTTTTGATGTCCAAAGCTGTAATCTTTTCATCTTTGACTAAGTACTGTTGGTGGTACTCTGCAACCTCATCAATGGCATCCTAATTCATGAAGAAAATTAAATGTATAAAAACGATGGAAACAATTTAGGCACACATGTGCTAAGCAGCTTACTCCATGAATATGCAAGCAAGCCTTTTGACCAGCCGGAGTTGACCCATAGACTCGTATAACAGGTACCTCGTTCACTTTCCCACCTGCGCAGCATTTGAGAAACACCCAAAAATAAAGCCTGGCAATAATTCAAACAACTCCTAGTTCAAATCAAACAAATCCTGCAGTTAATTGCTATTAAGTAAAATCATCATTCCCAATTATTTTCACTCTACTACCATAATACGGAGTAATTTCTTTAACTTGGGTCGAAGTAATTACCGTGGAAACTGCTGTAGCAAATGTCTAGGCCGGGGATAGGAGGCGCCATGTAGTAGTCCATCGACACGATCCGAACGCTGAAAATCTTTGAATTGGACTGAGAGTCGACCATTTTCTTTTGAAATGATAACTGGCAGCGAGGTTTGCCAAAAAAAAAACTGGCAGTGAGGAAGGATATTAAGTAGGAAAATTCATTGCGCAAAACGGCCTAGCCGGACCAAATGGAGTCCGCCATTGCTGCAAAATAAGTTTTTTTCCCGCAAAAAAAAACATAAAATTGAATTTCAATATAAGAGAGTGGTTTTTCGATGTCATTTTCGTAATTTAAGCGAAAAAACATTTGTTTCTGCTAAATGAGTATTAGTAACTTTTTTCGGTGTACTTTTTGTTAGCATCTGATCTATTTTAATAAATATTAGGAGACTAACAATAAGGATCACGATCTCTGCTTCAAGTTTTCTAATTCCATTTTTTCTCCTATTCTTTCTTTTATAAAAACTTATTAATCTATATCTATAATACACTCCAATGTATTTCAATATGCGAATTTAATGTAATATGATATTTTTGAAATACACATTGATAATCGTAAGGTTTGTTAGTTTAACATAACGATTTTCATTGAGTATCAAACCTCCTCTATTGAGGTGAAAATAATGGTTTCAGTTAAATGAGTATTAATGAAATTTTAATGAGCATCAAACCTATTGTGTTGAGTATTACTACGTACTTCTTAACTTCTTATTCACTTAATTTTTCTTATTTTTTTTTATGAATTTTTTAAATTGTATCTATAATAGACTCCTATGGATTCCAATATATGAATTTGATTTCATAGTAAACTTTTGAAATATGCATCAAGACATTTCATTGAGCATCAAAACATTTTCATTGAGCATCAACTTTCCTCTATTAAACATTGAAACTCTGGAATTGAGTATAAAATTTTCAAAACCTATTGAGCATAAAAAATCTTCATTGAATAGTGAGCCGTAAAAGTACTTTTACTATCTTAAAAGTACTCATTTGGGGACAAATCTTCATGTCCAGTTGGTCTGACGGGGACTGCCATCCGGACGAGTGTGTTTCGGGCTCTTTCCGATGGAATTTTTTGATAAAATTGTTTGAAATGTTCTTCATTAAGTCTAGTTTATCCATATCAAATTTCAACAAAAAAAAATCTGATAGGTAATAATAGAAGTCCAGTAGATAATGTAGTATATTAATGAAGATTTAAGGCTAGAATACAGAAAATAATGTAAGAAAAGGTTGAGACTCTTTGAGTGGTCTCACACTCCTAAATTCCCAGTCCCGATCCCAAAATCTGCTTGCGTTATTCTCCCCCTACCCCCCTTTTATAATAATACTCTCATAAAAGGGCTGACCCTCACTTAAATTATTGGGCCTAGAACCCTATTATTGAACACCATTAAAATACTTAATAGACTCAAATTATTGGTAGTGTCCAGGTTCCTAACATCACTCCCCCTTGGACTACCACCTTGTCCTCAAGGTGGATAATAAGAAACTGACCGTTTGAGCAGGTCATCTGCTACATCCCGTTCAAGTTGCTGATCACTTGTTCCCTGTTCTTCTTCTGATCCTTCCAACAAGATGAATTGATAATGTTTCATTCCACAAACATGTTCTTTACCCCATTTATCTCCACATTTGAAACACAGACTCTTTATACTTCTTTCTTATTGCTCTGTCTGTGTCAATCTCTGACCTCCCTCCCAAATCTTACTTCTTTTGGTGATTCCTCCAATTTGTTCTCGGGAGTCACGGCAGGTATTCTTCCATTTGCTCCTTCCACCCAATTCAAGGGTCTAACCATTTTCCCTCAATGTTCCTTCGAGCCTTTTTTTCTTCTTATTTATTTTGTTCTCCTTTCCACACCATGTTCTTCTTCTCCAACGTCAAAGTTGTGTCCATCAATTCAGTTATCCCACTGGTCTCTGGTACAACATTAGCCCTGTGCTAATTTCTTTATTAAGGCCATTGAGAAACACTCCCTTTAGCATCTCTTGGTCAACAAGTTTGAGAGGAGCTACAATCATTTCAAAGTGATCCCGGTACTTCATTAAAGGAAATTGACGGAATTCATAGTTGATCACCTTAACATGTCATTGTTGATCTTTCTTGACAAAAAATTACTTTAAGGCTTTTGAAATACCAAAAAAACGTCTAATTTTTACGTAGTATTTGTTTAGTAAATCCAATTTTTTACTTATTGTAATTTATATTCAATCCTTGTCCCTGACCCACCCCACACCCAGTGGCGGATCTAGGCATCGGAGCTCAGTGTATGCACATATTAATATGAACATTATAATATTAATATAGTACTCCCTTCGTCTCGGATAGAACTTGACGTTTACTTTTGGCACGATATTTTAGGAGCTCAATTAATAGCAGAACAAATGTCTTGCATGCCCTTTGACTTTTGGGAGAAATTAATGTTATCGACCCAAATGTAAAATGTGGGTAGGTAGTGAAGGGTAGTTAGGACATTTAATCTAACTCCTAAAAAAAGTAAAAGAGTAAATGAGACGTTCCAAAAGGCAACGTGTAAAGATTTAAATGGGACGAAGGAAGTATGTGATATCTAATACGAAATACAAATCTATTGCAGCTCTGGCCTCTGGTCCGACCAACTAATCGTTTGCAACTTCTCAAACAGAGTTTTTTGTTATTAGTAATAATAATGATTTAAACAAATGAAACAATAATAACAATATACAATTATTACCTTGTAGTCTAGTACTCGTACTACGTAACTAATAAGGCTTACAAAAAACCTAAACTGGAGCCTAGAAAAGAATCTTCCAGAACTACTAGAAATGAGAGAGCTAAGCGCATACGGAGTTGAAATGGGTTAGAATTTGTAATTTTGATTATTTAGAATTTAATAATACAATACTGAGTAGTAGTGTAGTACTAAATCTTCATATACGCGGGGCATATCTTAAAATTCCACTCTCAAGAAATTAAAATGGCATGGGAAAAGTACTCCAAAAAATAAAAATAAACCACCTGAAGCCTTACACATATTCGAACTCTTGACCTGAAGCCTAAGGGGAGTTTAATATTTCACTCTACTACCATGTTAGCTAGTAACAATATTTGAGGTGTAGCCAATGCTTACACTAAATATACTATAGATCCGCCCCTGCCCACACCTGCCCAACCATCCCCTCAAACTGCCATTGGAAAGCGCTGCTGGAAAAGTCACTTAAAATGTTAATGATTTTTTCTTTTCATTTTTCATTTTTTAAAGCTCGTTAGAAAAAGTTGTACATCTCAATTCGATGGTTACAATAACATGTTTCACATAAACAATGACATATATGTCAGAAAACCACATAAAAATCTATAGTAACATTATATTATAATTATCAAATTTATTATCTAATTAGTCAGGGAAAACTTTCAAATAAGTCCATGTAGTTTCATGAAAAAAATCAATTGAGTCCACATAGTTTTAAATGAATCAATTAAGACCGTGAACTGGTTAAAAATAACCAAATTGACTATTTCATGGGTAATCAACCGGTTTCCCGGTTGACTGCCTATGTGGAATGTCCAAGTGTTTTTTTTATTTTACTTTTTTTTTTACTTATTTTCTCTCTCTTTCTTTTTTCTTTCTTCTCTTTTGTTTTTTCTCCAACCCCTTTCCCATTCCAGAGCATCATCCCACTGCAAGTAACTCCTCCGTTTCCTCCATTTCCTTTCTTCTCTTTCTTTCTTCTTCCAACGGACGGAGCCAACAAGGGAGGTGTGGTGTCAATTGACACCACTGAATCCCTCCCATATATAGGTATATAAAAACTTTCAAATTTCTAAAGTTGACACCACTGAAAAATAAAAATTCTTTGTATAAGTGTATGTAATGTTTCATAAATTATAAATTGACACCGCTCCAAAAGGATGTGGAAAATCTAGTGAACAACAATTACAACATTCTAAGAGAGCTCGTGTTGAAGTTGATTTAGAAGCGCTTCCGTTAGATCCCGGACAACGAAAAAGAATTTTTAATTATCATCCGGATGATCGAGATAAGGTACGAAGAAAATATTTACATAATGGCCCATGTCAACCATGCAACCATGCAACCATACTTCCCCCAAAAAAACATAGGCAATGTTTTGTGTCGGTTTAACCGAAAGTGGTTTGATGATTATGGGAATTGGTTAGAATATATTATATCGAAAGATGCGGCATATTGCTTACATTGTTATCTTTTTAGACAAGACGTGGGAAAACAAAGTGGTGGTGAGGCATTTATAACGGAGGATTTTTCTCATTGGAATAAGAAAGAGAGATTTAATATTCATGTAAGACCTCTGCTCACAATGAAACTGTGAAAAAAGTTGAGTGTTTGATGAATCAAAACCAACAAATTCAATCAATTTTGATTAAACAGACAAATCAAACTTGAACTAAATATCGTACTAGATTGACTGCTTCCATTGATTGTATTCAGTTCCTCTTGTGTCAAGGGTTAGCATTTCGAGCTTGTGATGGATCAGAAGAGTCAAGTAACCAAGGGATTTTTTTTGAACTCTTAACTTTTCTACCAAATCATAATGAAGACAATCATAATGTTGCTTTGAATAATGCTCCCAAAAATTTGAAGATGACTGTTCATGATATTCAAAATGACATTATAATAAGTTTCTGAAATATACTGTGCTCTTTAACTGCGCAGTTATATTAAAAAAAATCATTTGACTGCTTTCCTGATTGAATTTTTAGCTGAAATTTGGTATGAGTAAACTAGACTTAATGAAGAAGATGATGAAAAACTTTCATCAAAAAAATCCACTGGGAACCGCCCCAAATGGCGACGGCCGGACATAGCCTCCTACATAAGGGGTGATTTGCACTTTTTAAGTTAGTTCGAGGGCTGATTTGTACAGCCGTGGACAGTTGTGCATTAGTACTTTAATTTATTAATAACAATATTACTTTTTTTTGCTTTATATGTGTATAGACTATTATTTACTCCCTCCGTATCACATATATCTTCCCACTTCCAAAGTGGGTGAGATTAAGGGAGTGTTTGTAATAGCTTAAAAAAAGCACTTCTCAGCTTTTAGCTTAAAAAAACACTTATTTACCAAACACTTTCAATTTTTACTTTTTCTTGGCTTGCGTGTGAAAAGTGTTTTTCCCTTTTCTATTACACAAAAAGCATTTATTTTACCAAACACTACCAACTTTTACTTTTCAAAATCACTTTTTTCTCAAACACTATCAACTTTTACTACTAATCACTTTTTCATTACATCTCCAAAAGTGATTTTTTTAAGCAGAAGCAGTTGCAAACACTCCCTAAGAATAGTGAAATGGGGTATGAATTATTGAGGGTATGATGAGAAGATGGTGAAATAATGTGATGGGATGAAGGATAAATCCAAAAAAAGTAGGTGTAGTAGTGTACTCCCAATATGTGGACTTATTTGACAGTTTCCCAATTAGTCACATTTAATTTTTATTCATATAAACATTTCCACCTTTGCGCATGGTGTAACAATTGCCCTCTCTAAATTAAATCTCCTTCCGGTTCTTGACACTTTGACTTCACAAATATTAAAGAAATAAATTTGACTTTACCGTAAATTACATTGTTTGACATTGTTTTGCACTGTTTGGTCTAGGTTTGTAAGACAAATAAAGAAGTGTAAAATTTAATATGGTAATTCCAAAAAAGGGAAGTGTAAAGCTCATTAAAAATTAAAAATCGGGGGAGGAAGTAAAAAATAATGTGGACAGTTGCCACAAATTAGATCTCACATTTATGGTAGTGGTATGGTACCATTCAAGTGATTCAACATATGAAATACACGTATAAAACTTTATAATGGGAGAAGTCAGTAATTAAATATGAAAGAAGTTAGGTCTGGAACACAAAATGTAATACGCCGCCGTACCAACGGCACGAGATAGTTCATGCATTTATGGAGAGGAACTGAGTCAGCTGGCAACGTGGGATCTACGTGTAAGCCAATCCAATAACTGACACGTAGACCACCCCCACCCTCCCTCCTATATTATTACCCCCTATTTCCTCCTTGTTAGGTGCATTCATCCATCAATCAATCCCCATCCACTTGTTCTTCTTTGAAACTCCTCTCTCCTCTCAGCTAATTAAGATCATTATTTAGGTTCAGAAAGATCAGCAGAAAGAAGAAGAAGAAAGCGAAAGAGATGAAGGAAAATACTGGGAACCCTTTGGCCTTGACGTCTCTCAACCACATCTCTCTCATCTGCAAATCAGTGGAGGAATCCATCGACTTCTACCAGAACATCCTGGGTTTTGTCCCTGTGCGAAGGCCTGGTTCTTTCAATTTCGATGGGGCCTGGTCTATATTCTTCTCCTCCTCTCTGAAATTGAGTTTTTTGGCAACAATTTTTCATTACTTACAAAAGAAATTGGTAAAATTAGAGTAAAATACTACCCCGTCCAGAAGTTCCGGGTTTGACTTACACATATTAAGAAAATAAATTTTACTGTTTTAGCACTGTTTTGCACTGTTTGACACTGTTTTGATGTAGATAACTTTCCATTTAAGAAAAAGAGAATTTCTTTTTGGATTGCTAAAAAAAGAAAGCATGAACTTCTTAGCAGGACGGAGGGCACGACGGAGGGAGGATAAACAAAATTTTAAACCTATGTTCAGTGAAACATGGGAAACGGGGGAAACAACTTTTTAAAGAGTTCCAAAAGTGTTTAAAATACGCAAAGAACTTCATGAAATTATAAAAACTACACAAATCATATTTTAAGAAGAAATAATGACACTCTAATTATGTTATATTTCAAATTAGACTGCAATTGAATTGATTGAATTAATAAATGGCCATGCAGGCTGTTCTGCTATGGAATCGGAATCCATTTGCTTCAATCCGAAGACCCGGAGAATTTGCCTAAGAAAAATGTAATCAATCCCAAGGACAATCACATCTCGTTCCAGGTATTCCGGCACTTATATTCTTCATTTCAAGGGAGTCCCATTCCCCAGTTTATAGCTAATTAAGTTTTACCTTTTCCTTTAAAAATACTAATTTCAGAAACATAACTACAATATACGGAGTACTATGTACTTAACACACAAATTAAACAAAGTACATCACTTTTTTGCATGAACACATGACCATTCACTCCTAAAAATAAATACTACTCACTTCCCTCTCATTTGAGTTTTTCTTTGTGCAATTTACGATATATAGTTCACAGCTATAAAATCATAAAATTAAACTTGTTTTTGATCATATATATACACTATATATGTATATATTAATAATTTAGAAGTTATATATTCATCTAATACTCCGTATATTTTCTCAGATGAAATTATGATTATAAACTTTGACCAATTACTTAACTAATACTTCGTACATTTATCTAAAATTCAATAATTTAAGATAATTTTATACTTTTAGGATAGTAGAGTATATTTTTTTTTTGAGAAAGAAAAGGGATAAATAGAAAAGAGTTACTAAAGGGACTCTAATAAGTCAAGTATGATCTGATGACATCATTGTGACACTTCCAAAGAATATGTCAGTGATTCGAATCTCATCCCAGTTCAATGATGTTGGCTTTAACGGAACAAATAATTTAGATGAACAAAAAGGGACTCTAATAATGCAAGCATTTCATCTTTCCTGATATTGCGCATTTACAATTTGCTTTACATAAATATTCGATCTTAGAGAGAAAAAACAAAAACCTTATAATGCATGCGTACTTGAGATGAACTGTGATATTGAGGCTGATGTCGAGGATGTAGGTTAATGGTAGGTGGAGTACGTGAAGCTCAAATCCTGGTAACTATTGTAAGTGCTAGGTGGAGCATTATGATTTAAAGTCAATTTATTTCTCCTATTTTTGTAAAAGTTTTTTTTTCTTCATATATGTGGTTTACAAATCTACATAATTTGCTTGTCATTTTCTTTTTTATTAAGACAATCAATTTTAGCACTAAAATCGAAACATGAGATAATGACACAATTAGTAAGAATAATTGAATTATGTACGTAGTAATCCTTATTGAATTGTAAGGTGAGAATAAAGTATTCAAATATGAAAATTACATGAATGACCAAATATGATGACTTCGGCTTAATAAGGGCAGAGTTAAAAACCATAAAAAAAAGGGCAGAGTTAACAAGGAAAACTAAGAATCGAAGGAGATACTAATACTTTTAACTACCCATATTTTCAAGTCTTTTTGACAGGGAAAATAATTAAAATACTCCAAACTTTGAAGGGGTGTGAGGTAAGCACCCCAAACTTGCATATGTAATTTGAATATCCCAAATTTTATATAAAAAGTTATTTTAGCACCATGGTCATATGCTATTTTTTTTTTTAAAAAATGTTAATTTTTTATGTTAATTTCATAATTTAAAATAATTTATCATTCATGAAGATACAATTAGCATCCTAAACTTCCATTGTAAAATAAATATTACTATCCCCCACTTTATATAATTGCAACGTTTTGAATTTGCTAATTTAAATTATGCAACTAACATCATAAATTTACATTTTTGAAACAAATGATACACGACCATGGTGTTAAATACTTTTTTATATAAAGTTTGAGTTATTTAAATTATATATGAAAGTTTGAGGTGTTTATCTCACACCCCTTCAAAGTTTAGGATATTTCAATTATTTTTCTCTTTAGACAATTTGTGTTATACTCCCTCTGTCCCAATTTGATGATCTCATTTCTTTTGGGCTCAAAGATTAATGAAGTGGTTAAAAGGTAAAAGTTGTGGTTGCGATTTGAGTAGAAAAAGGTGAAATGATGTGGACCACATATTTCTTTCCAAAAAGAGAAATTGGACTATCAATTTGAGACGGCCCAGAAAAAAAATATGAGATCATCAAATTGGGATGGAGGGAGTACTTCGTACTACTTTAAATATTAACATTGTTGTATTTCGGTTAAAAAATACAGCCGGAATTTCATGTGCAGAGTTCACTTTATTTGCAAAACTTTTATCTATGTCGATCATCACTGTACGGTGAACTCTACATTCAATTCGACCGCTAAATAGAATATTTTGATCAGAAATTTGAATAGTATTGTTGATATAAACATTTGAAATTGTGTACAAAACATGTACTTCTGCAAACATCATGAATTTTAATGGTGCTAATAATTACATTGGTTATATTGGGTGTGGGATGGGGTCAGTGTGAGAACATGGACGGAGTGGAAAAGAAGCTGAAAGAGATGGAAATCAAGTACGTGAGGCAAAGGGTGGAAGAAGGCGGAATCTACGTGGACCAGCTGTTCTTCCACGACCCCGACGGCTTCATGATCGAGATCTGCAACTGCGACAACTTGCCGGTGGTTCCGTTGGCCGGCGAGGTCGCCAGGTCATGTTCCCGTCACAATATTCCGATCATGCAGTCCCATAAGCACATTCATGTTTAGTTCAAGTCCCCTTGAAGCTAAGCTAGCCGCCGTACGTTACGTTCTAATAATAATATTATTATTGTTACAATAATTACACATCCCAAGCTAAGCAATTGGTTAATTACTGAGCTAAGCTCGATCGGCTCTCTCGATCTTTTGTTTTGTTTGGCTCGATAATCATCATCAAGCTAATTAATTAAGTTGCTAGTCGATGTTACGTATGTACGTAGTAGTAGATTTGTTTGTTTTGTTTCTTTGTTATTTTCCTTCATGTGTATGTTAATTAGCTGTATGTTTCTACTACCTCCGTCCCAAGGAGAAGTTCCCAATTTCCTTTTTTGGCAGTCCCAACAAAAAGTTCCCATTTCCTTAAATGGAAAGTTATCCTACATAAAAACAGTGCAAAACAGTGCCAAACAGTGTCAAACAGTGTCGAAACAGTGCCAAACAGTAAAATTTACCCCTCAGTAACTTTATTTCTTTAATATGTGTGAAAGTCAACCCGAGAACTTCTCCCTGGGACGGAGTATATAATAGTATGTCGGTTATCATTTTGGCAGCTTGTAAGGACGGTGTTATTTAGGCAGGCAGGCATTTCCTCATTAGTTACTTAGTCTTTTAATACGTACGTACGTAGTATGTACATATATTCCCATTATGTCTTGTCAATTCGATGTACCAAGCTCCACATCTCATTATTGTTGTCAATAATTCACAACATGATCATATGAAATCCCCACAACATTATCATATGAAATCCCGGACAGAATCGTCCATGAGTAAATCGCACAAGAACACTAAAGATTTCTTGTGAAGCTGGAGGTGAGTTTTAGCTGAAAACGTTTGTGCCAACTATGTGGTGAGATGTATTGTTGCGAATTTGTTGTGTGTTAAGTGTGCCTTAGTGGAAGCGTTGGACATGAATGATCAGAACGTTGACCATCAATTCGCCCAAAAACTGTCTTAAAGGAGAAGAGCGTTGGACAATAACTTCTGTAACATTTCAGAAGCGAACCAGAAGAGTTCTAGTCCGGAATAGAAGAATCCTTATCCAGAAGCCTTCTGGTGCGGAGCAGAAGGGTTCTAGTCCGAACATTTCTGATGAGAAAAAATTAAATCGTATCCTTGAAAGATAGATTTTCGGACGACATTCGTGTCCGCATGTCGCCCGCACACGCACGTCGCAGTTTTTCTTCTCCATTTGCAGGATTTGATCGGCACCCCCTTGCGCACGCGAAGAGAACCTTTCCGCCTAAGAATCTTAACTCTTTCAAAGAGGGTTTCCTTTATAAAAGGATGAAAATCCCTTGGTTTACCGGTGTGAGAAATATCACACTAGAAACCTATCATTTTTCCATTTCAACGAGTGAACTTCAAGAATCAATATAATTTTTCATTGCCTCAAATTGACCATTCAATACAATTTTTAACACATTTTTCCAACACAAATATCACATTTATACTAATAGGGGCAAACCTCATCATTCGGCTGCAATGCTGCATGATTGTTATTTTAAAATGCTTACTTTGTGTCAAACTATTTCATAAGGACTACTATCTAGTATCTACTAATAAAGATGACATTTGACTTACTAATTTAGTAAAATATGAAACAAAATATGAAAAACAGGATTATGATTCATTATTCATTTGGAAGAAAAGAGGTGTTTAAAATAATTTTATTAGTAATAAATTATTGAGGAAAGGGTTATAGTTAACCGTTATAGTATCTAACTTTAAATTTATTTGGATAGAAATATATACTCGTGTGTTAAAACAAACTTAAATGATAAGTTGCTAAGTGTTGGATGTGTTAGAGGCAGTGGGACTGTGGGAGAGTAAATTATTTCTGTAAACGTATGTGCTTGGTGAATATCCTATGCAGAAGCAACCGGGAGAAGGATATATACAGGGGATGTTTGGAACTTATTTTACTTTCGCTTCTTTTTTAAAGCAGAATCAGAATCAGAATCAATTTTTAGAAGTTGGTCTCCCCCAGCTTCTAAAAAAACTGCTTCTGGAAGTAAATTAGAGCACCAGAAGTACTTCTACACTTTCACCCAAACACTCTAATTTTTACTTTTGCTCTTTGAAGGAGTATGAGCAATTTTAAGAATCATATCCAAACACCCCCATATTCCATTTGCACTCACAATGTGCAATTTGCTAGTATCAATGCCAATTCCACGAGTGTATGATGGTTCAAGAAGTCCCCTACATTCAATACGGAGTATATACATCTGATCTATTAATCTAAAGGAATAATTAAAGGGAATGATCTGACAGTAAACTATGCTTAACTGTCTTGCACTAGATGAAAATGATGAATGCTCATTAGCAATGGAGTAGTCACATGAGCAACAGTTAGTCTAATTTATGTTTTGAGATGCTTGAAAAGACTGGTTCATTTCTCATGCCCCATCTTGTCCGAGTAGTACAATCTGCTGATGTATCCATTATTTGTGTCTAACTTTACTTGTTTAACATGACCATCATGTGGTATAATTAAAGAATTTTTTAACACAAGTGGGAGCAGTTTAATTGGACAATTATTTCCACAATTAAATTCTTCTCTTGCGGACAATTTTGACTTCAAGGAGAAGAATTTGAGACTCTTTTTAGGGATGATCATCTGGCCTCCAGGTTAGTTCGGGTGGCGTTTAACTAATCAGTGACGATTAGCCCGAGAGCTATGTTAAGAACATGAGAACACATGCAATCAATCAGTTAAGAATAATTTCTTATAGGTGATAGTGTATAGATTGCATTGGGAATCTGATAGATTGTTTGAGAAATTCGGATTTACTTTAATTAATTACTCCGACAAAATACATACGTACTCCCTCCGTCCCTAAATAAACTTCCAACTTTCCTTTTTCGTCCGTCCCAATTAAAACTTCCACTTTCCTTTTTTGGCCAGAATTTGTGATTCACAGCAATTCTTACACATTTCTCTCTCCTCTGCACAACTCTCCACCACACAATACCCACTATCTTAAACTCCGCGCCAAACCTATTTGGAAGATATAATAGGGACGGAGGGAGTAGTAAATAAGAACTTTCTCATAACCTTTCCATCAATCTCTAAAAGTGAATGTCCCCGCCAAATTTTACCATATTTCAAGGGAGTAAGGATACACTCTAGTCAAGTTCAACTTTGGTCTACTTAATTCAAGTTTGCAGATTGATTAGTACGAAAGCAATTTAAGCTAAGTTCACCACTTTTGATTTGAATTTGGATTCTACGTCTAGTGCCAACTGCCAAGTTGATCAATGCCATGGTATCAATCCGAGTTCCACTTGAATTTGGATTCTACGTCGACCTATTAATTCAAGTTTGATTAACTTAGTTTGAAAGCAAGCTAAGCTAAATTAACCGCTAAGACTTTGAACTATTTCTCCTGTCAGGTTGACTTTTTAGGATGAAATCCGAGTTCAGTGCCAAGTTCGATTGTGGTTTAACTGCTTATTTGGCATTCTTGATTAAGAGTAACTTGTTAAGGATCTGTTTGGCCTATTTATACATTTCAATATTTTCTATCCCGGTTTGGGATGAGAGAGCGTGCTAGAGTATTTGTTCAACACCAGAAAACTATAAAAAAGTAGAATACTCTACTCCATATAAGACTTTAAGGCAGTGTTTTCAAACACTTTTGAAAAGTGCTTTTCAACTTATTTTCTAAAATAAGCTAAAAATGGTGTTTGCAAGACTCAACTTCAACTTAATTTAAAGTGCTTTTAAGCCAAAAGCTCAAAGCATGTATAGGGATGCTTTTAATAGCTTCTAGATTTTTTGTTGTAAATAATTACAAGTTTGAGGGTAATTATTAGACAACTATTTTGATTAAACCCAAACTACCCTCCCTTCATTTCCCTTTGTGTCAGACCTTGTTGCCTCATTGACCGGACTGCTTATGTTCCATGAACCCCACCACCGGTCACTGCCATACCCAACCGGAGTCCGGTGGTCAAGATTCCGGCGACGCCGTGCAAAAACAAGATCGGAGACCATTTGCAACTCTGCCTCTTCAAGAATAGGGTGGATTACTGTCGAATTCATGCCGTTCTCATCCCAAGATGTTCTGCTTTTCGGCTACAGTTCCGTCGGCCTGGGCCGCGATGATGGCTCACCACAAATCCGAGTGGATCTGGTCTTCAATGTTTTTTTTGGACTGGTTTTTGTCTTCTCTTTTGGGAGCACAGTATTGTTCGTAGGATGGAAGATGGCTTGTTAGTGGAGGTATAGAAAGGACATTTTTGTCTTTAACAAAATATCATATCAACAATCACTTTTTTAACAAACACTTCAACTTTTACATTTTAATTAAAATCACTCTTATCTTCAAACACTACCCACTTTTACTTAAAATCACTTTTCCAATAATGTCTTAAATAAATCACTTTTGAAAAGCACAAGCTCTTGCAAACACTCCCTAAGTTACGAACTCCTATCATGTTAACCTTTTAGGATGAAGTTTTAAGTCATCTTAACACCTTGATAAAAATTATTGTCAAGTTAGAATGCCATCATCAATCTAATTTTAAACTTTATGTCAAATTTTCATCATGAAGCAATAATGTTACCCGGACAGCAAGATAAAGGAAAAAGAGTTAAATAAACCCTTATACTATTGTGAAAAAATCATCTAAGCGCATGTAGGGCTTGTTTGCAATCACTTAAGAAAAGTGATTTTGGCTTTTTTCTAAGAAAAAAGCACTTATTTTACCAAACACTACCAACTTTTACTTTCTCGGCTTCCGTGTAGAATCTACCTTTTACTTTTTCTATTACACAAAAAGCACTTATTTTACCAAACACTTCCAAATTTTACTACTAATCACTTTTTCCCAAAAAGTGCTTTTATTTAAGCACAAGTAGTTGCAAACAAAGCCGTAGTAACAAAAGGATTATATGGATGCATTTATTTAGTACTAAAAATCAATCAAATAGGTGCTTTGACCGGAAGTTAAACTACAATAATAGTTGAAATAATTACATGAATATGATCAAAATAAAGATGGTTTACAAAAATATGACTAGTTAATAGAGTAGTAATGAAATCATAGTAATTCATGTTCAAGTTTTGAACTTAAGTTACTACAACACCACGTTGTAGTAATGAATAGTCATATTTATATAAATAAGTTTTATTTTAGTAATATTCTTGTAAAAAATCCATAATAGTTTGGAG